TAGAGTTTTTTGAAGAAAAATTTGGCGGAAGTGGATAAAAATGAAATAGAACAAAAATGTATATTTGCAATTGGATTCCTGCCAAAGGTCAGCTTTAATTCATTAGGTCGGTATTGTGAGTCGGCTGTCCTGTGTCTACCCCTCCTCTTCTATGAATTGATCCCGGTGTGATGATTATCTCTCCTCGGAGAAAACTGACTTCAGGAAAAACAAGACAAGTTATCTTTAAATGTATCAATTCCTCCCAAATAATAAACCGTTTCGCCGCGCTCAATTGCCTGGACTAAAGCAGAACGCATGTTACGCCCCCCCTAACCAGCAAGGAAAGCCGCCCGGCAGGGATCTGCAGCAGAAATTTGGCCTTACTTTTTTATTGGCAAAGTTACATTGCGAAGACTTTTCTCTCCGGCCGCCCAGATGGTATGAAACTAGAACAGAGCAGAAGGCTGTCCTTACTCCGCCAGCCAAATGTGGCCATTCTCTGCCTTATTTCTTCGCAGACGTTTGTTAAAACCCAACCAAGGGAGAAAGTCGATGTAATCCCAATCATGGAAATCTTACAGAAGCTTTGCCATTTTAATTTCAATTCAAAAATCATTTTCAGTCCATTAAAGTAATTCCTGGTGATCTGACCATGAAGGTCCATGATCAGACGCTTCCTGTTATTGGGGGTGACAACGCTATGTCTCTGTCCAACAATTGTGCACCTGTGTTGTCACCCTGTCACAGGCACCCCTAATTGAGACTTCCAGGGCACACATCTAGGCAGGTTGAAATATGTATGGTTTAGTGAGCCAGCGGCCAGGCCAGGCTGAGGAAAGAACTAAGTGTTTCTTGATTAGTTCCCAGGCTTTTGGTCCTAGCCAGCCTAACTGTGCTATAAAAAGGGGGGGCGGCTGAGGTCTGAAAAAGGTCGGTCCAGTGAATTTCAGCCTCACCTGTGAGCGCAGTCGCTACTGAAGAAACCAGGGTTTTCAGAGGATCTCCAGCCATGGACAATGCCGTTATGGACTCTCACTCATGGAGGTATGTTGGGCCACTACATTATTCAAGTCAGGATTGGAGAGAGGACGTTGTTACAATAGTGGTGGGTATCCAATAGCAACTGAACCGGAACCCTCGTTGCGAAGAGCTATGGCCTGGTCTCAAGGAACAGGCAGCAGCGTATTTACCGCGAGGCAAACAAAGCGGTGTCACCCTCCTGAATAGCCCTGTTGGCTTTTTGGACCTGTCACATGTCCCAGAAGACTATGGGAAGGGAGGGTAGGAGGACAACTCCCCGCTCCCCAAAGGTGCTAATCCTTAATGGGGAGCGGGGGACCAATCTTTAAATTGGAACTTCCCCTTTTGGGTGGAACTCCGCTTTAATGGCACCCCAAACACAGCAAACAGGTATGCAACAAGTGCAGAAAAAACATAAAAAAGTTTTAAAAAGTAGGAAGCTCAGCTATGAAGTGTTTGGTGTGCATAGGGCATACCACTGAAATGAAAAAAAAAATGATTGCAAAAAAAATCCTCCAAAAAAAGTACATTCATGAAATACTAGGTGTGAACCCATCCACCACCATTCAAGAATGGGGCCACTCCAAACACCAAGCACTTTGTATTAAAACCAACTTTATTCCTCAATGAGTTACAACTAGAGATGAGCGAATTATTCAAAAATTCGATTCGGCTGATTCGCCGAATTTGCGGAAGAAATTCGATTCGATGCGAATTTATTCGCTGCGAATTTAACTTATTAAAAGGGTGTTTCTAGGCTTCAGAGAGCCTTTATATTAGTGCAGAACACTGTACCTTTAATTTAAATGCCCTTGGAGTCTGCTGGGGAAGAGAAATAATACTGACAGTCAGTATGACATGCAGATGAGTGCCGTCGATCTTAGAATCACCACACACTTCACTCATTTGGGCAGTCACGGGGCACGACGAAGAAGAAGAAGAAGAATGAAAAGAAGAAGAAGAAGAATGAAAAGAAGAAGAAGAAGAATGAAAAGAAGAATGAAAAGAAGAAGAAGAAGAATGAAAAGAAGAAGAAGAAGAATGAAAAGAAGAAGAAGAATGAAAAGAAGAATGAAAAGAAGAAGAAGAATGAAAAGAACAAGAAGAAGAAGAATGAAAAGAAGAATGAGAAGAAGAATGAAAAGAAGAAGAAGAAGAATGAAAAGAAGAATGAAAAGAAGAAGAAGAATGAAAAGAAGAAGAAGAAGAATGAAAAGAAGAATGAAAAGAAGAAGAAGAAGAATGAAAAGAAGAAGAAGAAGAATGAAAAGAAGAAGAAGAATGAAAAAGAAGAATGAGAAGAAGAATGAAAAGAAGAATGAAAAGAAGAATGAGAAGAAGAATGAAAAGAAGAATAAGAAGAATGAAAAGAAGAAGAAGAAGAATGAAAAGAAGAAGAAGAATGAAAAGAAGAATGAAAAGAAGAAGAAGAAGAATGAAAAGAAGAAGAAGAATGAAAAGAAGAAGAAGAAGAATGAAAAGAAGAATGAGAAGAAGAATGAAAAGAAGAATGAAAAGAAGAATGAAAAGAAGAAAAATGAAAAGAAGAAGAAGAATGAAAAGAAGAATGAAAAGAAGAAGAAGAAGAATGAAAAGAAGAAGAAGAAGAATGAAAAGAAGAAGAAGAATGAAAAGAAGAAGAAGAAGAAGAATGAAAAGAAGAAGAAGAATGAAAAGAAGAAGAATTCCAGTACAGCAAAAAGTGTATCTGCAGAGAGCTCCGCTATTTCTGACAGTTCTCTGACAGTTCCTTCACATTTACAGCGGTTGAAACATTGTATCTATTTGTTTCCGAATAAAAACATCTGTATCCTAAATGGAAACAAATAGATACAATGTTTTCAACCGCTGTAAATGTGAAGGAACTGTCAGAGAACTGTCAGAAATAGCGGAGCTCTCTGCAGGGACACTTTTTGCCGGCTGTAGAAGGGATGAAAAATCGGCCGATCGGGAAAAATTCGATTCGCGCATCCGAAGTTTGCTAATATTCGGATTCGGTGCGAATCGAATTTTTCCTAATATTCGAAACGAATTCCACTTCGCCAAGTTCGATTCGCTCATCTCTAGTTACAACATCCCGATAGACCAGCCTCTCCCAACCTTCTCAACTCAGAGGAACCCTTGAAATAGCTTTCCAGCCTCAGGGAACCGCTGCTAAGACTTACTATATCTGCAACACATGATACATTAGTGTGATGGTCAGTGGGAAGAAGGCTTTTCATACTTGTGGTCATTGGGAAGATTTCCCCCTTACAGACAGCTCTAGGAACCCCTAGCAAGCTCAGGAGGAACCCTAGTTGAGAATCCCTGCACTAGACAGTAGGCCTCATGCTTTTTGCCCTAGTGTAGGGCTTAGGCTGGGTTAACATTTGTAAAATGTGCAGGGAAATATTTATCCCATCTCCTGGCAGTCAATTGAAATGACCGTTTTATGCCTGTGATTGGTTTATGTTTTCAACAAAAACTGAACTTGAACGTTCGATCGCTATTCTAGAGTGCCATGCCATAGCCAGTGTATGAACATTCTTGTAAAGAAGCACAGCAGTGGATGTTTTGCTTTTAGACTCTCTCTCTCTTTGATTAAACCTTTGCATGGAGCCATCTGAACAGGGAAACCATTGCCCTGATTTGTACACATGTGCATAATAAGCAGCTTGAGCTATAGAGCTTCATAAACAACACAAACAATACAGTATATATGAAACCAATATACATTCTATTTATGAAGATAGAATCTACCACCCAGGGCCATTCTGGTCTTACACACATCGGGCAATGAAAGAGGTGGAGTGGCTTCAGTGCCCAAGGACTGTATTGAGCAGTGCCCAAGGCTTTTCTGGCAGGTTCACAGTATTGTGCTACGGCAACGCGTTTCATTAGTGCGCCTATTGCCACAAAGCATGAAAACATGAGGTTTGTACATTCATGTGCTGTGATGTTATTCATTTTTCATGGCACCCCAATGCACCTTACTAATGGACATGTGATGCAGCACAACACAACGCATAGTAGCGCACTACCTTTCGCTGCGGTGTGCATTATTAAAAAAAAAAAAACATGTACATTTGGTGCATTTTGCTGCATTTTGGTGCATTAGGCAGCCTACCTTAACCACTTCCCTTCCGACCCATGTACATAAATGTCTGGACGGGAGCAGTGCAGGAGCGGGTGGCTGTTTATAAATGGCCTCTGTATTCACTGCCTGTGCACGCTCCCTGGAAGCGCGCGGCACCCGCGAACACCGATCGTTGTACAGGACATCTGTGTGAGGTCCCGATTCATGTGATCACTGATTGGTCAATCAGTGATCACATGAATACTAATAAGCAAGATGTCACTTCTGACATCATTGCTTACTACGTGTGAAATCTGTGAATGATCACAGAGATCACATGGTACAGGGCTATTCACAACAGCCTTGTACCATTTGACAAGCTGTGACCAATCACAGCTCACACAGTACTTCACAATGGCTGGAAGAATGCAGCCAGAGAGAAGGAGAAATTATTGCTTTTACAGCCTTTATGGGTGTAAAAGCAATCAGTGTAAAAAAAAAGAAAAAAAATCTTCATCACCCCCCACAAGTAGTACAGTGTCACTATTTCTACCTTAACCCCAATACCTACTGCTGTGCTGACCAATCCCTAGAAGGAAGTTCACCAGATGCCTGACATACCCGCCTGCCTAAGTGGTCCATTGTGGATATATTTACATGTGCATTATCTATGTGCTTCTGGTGAGTGCGCAATTTTACCGTTGTTTCCAGGCACAGGCTTTTTGAATTCTGTTACGGAAGGGATCTTTTACCTACACTTATCATATGAACTTATATGAACTTTTATATCCTATATCCTATGAGTTATTTTACTAGCCCTGCACTTCCTATTTATACAGGAGTACCAGGTGCCTTTCCAAAGTGTCTGTACAACTCACATGCCTTGTGAGGACCTGAAAGCAAAACAGTGTTCTGGCCTTTAGGGGCAGCGAGAGCCAACTGGTCAAAAAGTCAAAAGTTGTCCACCAGATTTAAGAAGAATTCTGTGTGCTCCAGAAGACACTTTAAGTGCATACACCTTGAGTTTGGGGATATCTTGAATCCTGACATCATCTGTGATGCATCCAACCACCACACGTCCAGGAAGCTTCATCTTGCAAATCAAACGGGACAGAGACAGTGGTGGCCTGTTGGTGCGGCTCATGAACAGACGTCTCAAAACCACTTTGTTGAAGCTGGCATTGGTACGACGGACCAAGAAACGGTATAACTTAATCAGACGTCTCAGAGAGATATGTTGACTTTTGGGCTCTGTTTGCCGCACCTTGCGGTCTTTGTTGGGACGGATATCTACTTCCAAGATGGCGGCTGTAGCAGCAGCGGCTTCTCGGGGAGCAAAGGAAGGAGGAGGAAGGGCCGCATGGGCTTATGGGAAAACATGAACACAGGAAGGTTAGGTTGAAGTGTTTGGGTTGGGGGAGGGGCTTATCTCCCAGGACCACCAGGGTTGCTCCAAAAGCCAACCTAACATACCAAAGTAAATTGAAAACCCAGGAAGAAGTAGCAAAAAGTTACCAAAGGCAGGTCCTCTTCAACTGGCCACACGTAGGAGCATAAATTTGGAGCTCCGCCGTCCCAATAAAACAATTCTTTAACTTTCCGGAATTTTTGGACACGATGTCACATGAAATGACTTTTTATTTATGTGACCCTCTGACCTCCAGATCAGCTGTTTAACTCAAAGTCCATTAGTTATGGAGAATACGAAGTCTGATACTCCTGTTTGTAAATAAGTGAAATAATTGCGCTTTAAGTCCACTAATCCTGCCTGTAATCCGCTTTTCACTTAGAACCATTGTATATTTGAATTGCAGAAGAAGAAAACACGGGGAGGACGAGCGTATTGTGAGAGAGCAAACAAAAACAAATAAAGTTCCTCCAGATCGGCTCTTCCATGTGGTCCTCAAGGTCCCCAATGGGGTGAATTTGTCCCTTTTCCTCATGGAGTCACAGCTGAAGGACAACCAGTGTCACTCCTGGTCAAAGTGGATCTGTCATGAGAAGAAACCCCAGCCCATGCACTACCTTTATCATGGCGCCCCCATCATTCACATCCTCCCCACTCACCCCACCCCTTAACTCACCCCCCCCCCCCCTTAGAGTCACCAGCAAACAGTTGAACACCCAACAGCATGTCCATGGGCTTTACTGGCACCTGGAGACTGGCTATGTAGACCAGCATAGGAAGCCATACGGTGTAGACTTCCATGGGGCCCCATTTCATAGGTGAAAGGGTATTGAGAATTTTTGCAGTTGTTTTGGATGAAAGGGATGTAAGGAAGGGTTAGAACCTCTACCAGGTTTTTATTGCTTTCGTTTTTTATTGCTTTCTGTCTATTTGTCTTGGATGGGAGAAGATCTTTTAGCAGAAAAAATCCAAAGTGCACCCCCCCCCCCCAAAGCAGAGCACTTCATAAGCATAGGTTTCAGATTCAGGTTCTTAGTTATTGTTAATGGCACCCCAAACATGGCAATCAGACAAAAGCAGCAAAACGCACTGCTACGGTTAGAAAACACTCAACACTCAACGCTCAGGCCCCATGCATCCAAGGCAATCGAGCAGCTCTTCTGCAGTCTTTCCCACATGGAAGAAAAATATATTTTAAATACATTTTAAAAATATTCTTTACAAATATATTGACATATATTTGATATACTACAATTTGGGCCGTATTCAATATATTAGAAAAAAAAATTATATATATATATATACTGCATGTTGAAATGTTTTTTTTATAGATTACAAAGCATATGAAAAATATTTTTGAAAATATATATTTTTAAAATATATTCTTTAGATTTTTTTTAACATATAAAAAAGTCATTTTTAACATATGTTTTTACTTATATTTGTAAATGCGTTCCAAAATTGGAGATTAAATGTATTTTTAAAGACATATATATATATTTATTGAAATATATTTTGAAATATATTGACTATGGCCAAAATTGTAGCATTTCAATATTTTAGCATATGTCAATATATTTGGGAAGAATATTTTTAAACCACTTCCCGACCGGCCGTTGCATATAAACAGCCGGACGGTGGCAGTGCAGGGTCGGGTGGCCGTTTATAAATGGTCTCCCCGCACCCTGCTTGTGCGCGCTCCCTCGGAGCGCGCAGCACCGCGATCCGGTGCCTGCTGTGTCCTCCGGACACAGTGAAACACCGATCGTCGGACGGGACCTCTGTACGAGGTCCCGATCATGTGATCACTGATTGGCCAATCAGTGATCACATGCAAAGTAGTAAGCAAGATGTCACTTCTGACCTCATTGCTTACTACGTGTGAAATCTGTGAATGATCACAGAGATCACATGGTACAAGGCTATTCACAACAGTACCATGTGACAAGCTGTGACCAATCACAGCTCACTCAGTACTTCTCAATGAGTGCAAGAATGAAAGAGAAATGATTGCTTTTACATCCTATATGGGTGTAAAAGCAATCAGTGTAAAAAAAAAAAAAAAAAATCTTCATCACCCCCACAAGTAGTACAGTGTCACCATGGTGACACTGTACTGCTAGGGTGACAGTATGTAAAAAAAAAAAAAAAATAATAATATAAAAAAATAAAATAAAAATGTTTAAAAATTATAATTTTTGGTTATAAACTAATTTGGATTTTTTTTTTTTTTACTAAAAAGATAACGGAATAAATTTTGGCAAAGATTTATGATGAAATATTATTTATTTGCAAAATTTTTTTATAAAAAAAACACTTTTTTTCAAAATTTTTGGACATTTTCATTTACATAGCAAAAAAAAATTAAAATCCCAGCGGTGAATAAATACCACCAAAATAAAGTTTTATCTGTCTCAAAAAAAATGGTAAAAAATTAAATTTAGGTACAGTGTTGCATGACCGCGCAATTGTCATTCAAAGTGTGATAGCGCTGAAAGCTGAAAATTGCCCTGGTCAGGAAGGGGGTGAAAGTGTCCGGACTGGAAGTGGTTTAAAATATATATTTTTTTTCTAGTCTCCCCTCTAATTCATCCCAAAGGTGTTCTATGGGGTTGAGGTCAGTCCGCCCCTGGGCAGGAAATCAGCTGTGTTAATCATGTTACATGTTGCCACGCACACTGGAGTAAATAATTCCACGTCTGTAATTTACCTTCAACGCCTCATCAGCTTTTCTGGTTAGGGTCTCATTTATTCTATTTCCAGTTAGGGTCGTGGTACCAGTAAAACCCTGTTCACAAGGACATGGGAGAAATCATTTTTGTCTCCATCTCCCACCCCATGTATATCTAATGCCTATAATTTACAGTTAACTCTAAGCTGATAGGGGCTTTTTAAAGCGTCACAATTTGAAGACTTGACATGTTGGGTATCTATTTGCTCGACACAACCTCCTCTTTTATGTCTTGCCCAAAAATGGGTAAAATGTTGCATCTATGTGCCCTAAAATAATTTTAGTATGTTTTTTTTTACTGAATTCTTTTTTTTAATTTTTCTAAAAATTTGCGCATGAGAAACTGTCGCGCTAATATTGTGTGAAACAAAAAAAAAAAATTGGAACTATCGCTATTTTATTCTCCAGGAGGTCTATCTTCAGAAAATCTATAAAAAGCAATAAAAAAAAAAACAAAAAACACTGTCGCAGTGAAAGGGATAATGCATCCATGTAGTACTGATATCCAGCTACTATTGGGAGGCCATTATCTCCATGTCTCTGCCAGTGACAGCGGCGTTGTGTTCAGACACAGTAAATGTCAGTTATTAGTAGGCAATGAATTCGTTTGTCACTTGTACTTGTCATTTGTCATTGTTATGTCTCTCTCCCGGGACAGGCCATATCTGTGTGCACTTGCTTTCTGTTCCGATTATCCGGAATCTTGTCTGCTTCTAGCTCAAAAAACACAGATAACCCCCTACCTCCCCCCACTGCCCATACCCCCCCCCCCCCCCCCCCCCCCCCCGACAAGTGCTTCTAAGTATGGAATGCAAATGAGCCAAATTACTGCCGATTATTGAGCACAATCTGGGGAATTAGAGGCACAATGTGACGGGGAGGTGGGGGGGACCTTTAAGTGTGAAAACCTGTAGAGTGTCAGTAATACTGAACAGATGAAGATAGATCCCAGAATTATTGTACAACGCTACGCCCACTGTGAGCACTACCTGCAGTACCTGCTATTTAAAATGAATGTAATCCCAACCAATACTATCTCATAGGAGGTTTAATATGGTAATGGGAATTCATAATTCATTGTATGGACTCTGCACAGTCCTACTTCTCCTGTCCTGGATGCCGGGTGTAATTTTCGGTATCTGTCCTTATCCTGTATGTATAGACTCTGCACAGTCCCACTTCTCTTGTCCTGGATGCCGGGTGTAATTCTCGGTATCTGTCCTTATCCTGTATGTATGGACTCTGCACAGTCCTTCTTCTCCTGTCCTGGATGCCGGGTGTAATTCTCGGTATCTGTCCTTATCCTGTATGTATGGACTCTGCACAGTCCTTCTTCTCCTGTAATGGATGCCGGGTGTAATTCTCGGTATCTGTCCTTACTCTGTATGTTCTGTATGTACTTTGCACAGTCCCACTTCTCCTGTCCTAGATGCCGGGTGTAATTCTCGGTATCTGTCCTTACTCTGTATGTATGGAGTCTGCACAGTCCCACTTCTCCTGTCCTGGATGCCGGGTGTAATTCTCGGTATCTGTCCTTATCCTGTATGTATGGACTCTGCACAGTCCCACTTCTCCTGTCCTGGATGCCGGGTGTAAATCTCTGTATCTGTCCTTATTCTGTATGTATGGACTCTGCACAGTCCCACTTCTCCTGTCCTGTATGTAGGACCAGATCTAGGAGGGTGCTGGGTTGGGCTGTGCCCCCCCCCCCCAGATTTTATTTGAGCCCCCCAGGTCTCTGAGAGTGCATCCACTGATCCATGACCCAGTATTGTAGGGGCAATTAATGTAAGAGAGCACTGTGATGGGGATACCTGATGTAAAAGGGAACTCTGATTCAGATAGCTGATCTAAAGGGGCACTCTGATGGGGTAACTGATCATATATGTTACAGGGCACTCTGATGGGAACACTTGATGTGAGGGGGCACAGTGATGGGGACATCTGATGAAAGGAAGCATTCTGACAAGGAACCTGATGTAAGGGGGACTCTGGTGGGGACCCTGAAGTAAGGGGGACTTGTGTGGGGACCCTAAAGTAAGGGGGACTCTGGTGGGGACCCTGATGTAAGGGGGACTCTGGTGGGGACCCTGAAGTAAGGGGAACTTGTGTGGGGACCCTGATGTAAGGGGGACTCTGGTGGGGACCC